CTGCTATAATGTCATTCCTAGTCCTTTTCACTACACTAAACATGCCCAATTCCTACAACCATTCTTCATATGTTTTAGCTTCCAGCTAAACATCTTTGTTGCTGTTCGCTGCACTCTTTCCAGAGTCTCAACATCTTTTTAATATAATGGCAACCAAAACTAGATACAATATTCGAAGTGTGACCTTACCAAGGCATTATAAAGCAATACTAACACTTCATGTGTTTCTAACCCTCCATGTTCCATTTCCCCCTCCCGCCCCCAGTTCATTTCAAGGTTGAAAAGCATTAAGATTCCAAAGAAACAAAGCAATTCAATTTTAACAGTTGTGGTCTACTTTCTCAAATGCATTACTGAAATCCAAGTATATTATGTATTTTATTGGTACACTAATTTAGTCACTTTGTTAAAGAATGAAATAAGATTTGTTTGGCATGATCTGTTTTTGACATACCCATGTTGACTTCTTTTTATAATTTTCTTGCTTCTTGGTGTTCACAGATCTGTTACTTAATTAATTTTTCCAGGATCTTCCCAAGTATGGATGTCAGGCTGATTGATCTGTAGTTTCCTGATCCATTCCGCCCCCCTTTTTTTAAAAAAAAAAAAAGATGAGAACCACATCAGCTCTTTTCAAGTCCTCTGGTAGTTCCCTGGTTCTCCAGAATCTTTGAAAGATATGGTTCAATGGTTACACGATCACATTTGCCACCTCTTTCAGAACTCTGGGATGTAATCCATCTGGTCATGATGATCTGAACAGATGGATAGGTGTTCTCCCACCCTTTTCTTGCCTATTTTAATTTGTATTCCTTGACTTTTCTTTTTTTACATGTTGAAAGAAACTTATTTTATTATTTTTGACATTTGTTGCAAGTCTTAAGTTTATTCTGAGCCTTAGCTTTCCTGATTTCATCTTTGCAGATTTAGAGTATATGCTAAAATTGCCTTAGTTATATGTATCTCTTTCTATTTTTTATACTTATCCCTTTTGTCTTTCAGTTCATCAGAGAGTTTTTTTATATAACAATGCTGGTATTTTGAGCTTTTATAATGTATGTTTCTCAGAATTTCCCAAGCTTCTTGAGTTGTTTTCTCCTTTAAGATTTTTATACATGGGATCCTTCCCTACCTCTCTCTAGGTTTGTTGAACTCAGCTTGTTTAAAGCCTAAAACACTGGTTGGATTATGTTCTATTGCTTGGGTCTAGATTATTACATTGAATTCCAATATGACAAGGTCATTCTCCTCCAAAGTTCTTGCAACTTCAACACCCTCTATCATTTCATCTCTGTTCATAAGAATTAAGTCCAGTACAGCTAATTGTCTAGTTTTGTTCTTTACCTTTTGGATGATAAAGTTGTCAGCTAAGTTCATAAGGAACCTGTTTGAGCTCCCATTTTATGCAGAATTTATCTCTTAGTTGATGTCAGGGTAGTTAAAGTCCCCCATTGCTACTGTGGTATATCTCTATATGCATTTGTTAAGTGACTAGCAAAAAATCCATCTATTTCTTCTGCTTGGCTGGGTGGCCTATAGTATATATCTATGGAAATGTCCTTTTATATTAACTGTCAGCATTCCAAATATCATGCAGAATTAAATCAGAGTCCAAGGCAGAGCTATCCTTAAAGTTCCAATTTAATAAGACAGACATGTTGGCACATCTGTGGAAAATCCCAAATTTAAAACTTCCTGGGATTTCACCCAGTTGAAAGTTCATGATCTTATCCCCACACCCATAAATCCATCACATGGTCCAATCTTCTTCAGCCACGCTGGCATTTCCACCCATCTAGTTCCAGTCAGATGCAGAGGTGCAGAGACAAAAGATGACCTTGAGCTTCTAGAAAAGAATGACAACAACACATTCCACAATTTTACTCCTTTCTATTCCCCCCTCCCAACTACTACACTAATGAAATAGCACATTGAAATAAAAGAGTGTGTGGCAGGCCAAAGATCCTAAAATGAATAAAACTGCAGGCCTGACATTAACTCACATACGTTCAATGAGACTTTCATCCTTGGTTTTATGCATTTCTGTACAGGTATAGTATTTTTTATGTATAATACAACTCCACCTCCTCTTTTGTTAGGTCTGTTTCTTTTGAACAGTTTATATTCTTCTAGCACTATATTCCAATTGTGAGTTTCATCTCACCATGTTTTGGGAATGGCAACTATATCATACCTACCTTTGTGTACTGGTACTTCAGCCTGTTTTTTCCCCAAACTTTGTTAGTGTATAGGCATCTGACCCTGTGTCTGCTTTCTCCATCTCCTGCTTTATATCTGAGGTTTTTCTTCCTTCCCATTACTCTCTATCTCCTTGTTTTACTGCTTGTTTTGGGTTTACTAAAGGATATTAAAGATTTGTCACCCTCATTCCTCAATTGTAGTTTAAAGCCTTTCAGATAAGCTGAACAATTGTTTTCCAAATCCAGTCTTCCTAGTTCTTGTGAGGTGCGGCCCATCCCTTGGCAGAAGCCCTTCTTGTAGATAATGCAGACTGTGCTTTAGGAATCCAAAATACTCTTGGTGGCACTATCCTTAAAGCCAGTTATTTCTAAAATTCTTTGTTTCCTCATTGGATATTGACCTTTTGTTGGAAGTACAGATGAAAACACCACCTGTGCTCCTATCTCCTTAACTTTCTTGCCTAACTGGTCATGGTCTCTTGATATTGTTTTCAGTTTCATTGTCATGTCATTTGTCCCCACATGAAAGAGAAGAAAGGGATAATAATATGTGGGCTTGATTTGTCCAGAAAGGAATAGGATCTCTTGCTTAAGCAGCATTAGACTCTAAGGTCCCTTACAACTCTGTTATGCTGCATTCTGTCTTATAATCTACAAGAGTTATAATATCATTAAAAAAGAACAATATTCGATTCCTGATTCCTGGGTCTAGACAGCAAATTAGATATTAAAGGTGTTAAACCCTCCTACCTAATAATCAGAGGGAATTAAAATATGATTATAAAAGCCCAGTCCAGCTCAATACCACTAAAAAAGAAAAATAAGAAAGCCAAGAGATAAAAAACAGAATGGTTACATAAAGAACTCCTTGATAAACTGAAAGACAAAAAGGATAAGTACAAAGAATGAAAAGAGGGACACATAACAAAAGCAGAATACCGACAAATAGCCTGAATTTGCAAAGATGAAGTCAGAAAAGCTAAGGCTCAGAATGAAGTAAGATTTGCAGCAAATGTCAAAAATAATTTTAAAAGTTTCTTCAACATACAGACGCAAGAAAAAAGTTAAGGAAACAATCAATCCACTAATGAGAAAAGATTCCAAGGAAGTAAGAAGCAGTAGAGAGAAATCAAAGCTACTTAATTCATTATTTGCATCTGTTTTCACACAAAAAAATACAAAACTCCCACCCTATAAAAAACAAAACCATAAAAGACAGCTTACGAATACAAAATAAAGTAGACAAGAGAATGGTAAGAGAATAACTCTCCACTCTAGATGAGTTCAAATCACTGGGACCTGATGGATTATATCTGAAGCAGCTGTCAGATGTGATTTTGGAAATACTGAACCATATCTTTCAAAAATCCTGGAGGACTAGAGAACTACCTGAGAACTAGGAAAGAGCTGATACGGTTCCTATCATTAAAAAAAACAGAAAAAAACCCCAATCCATGACACTACAGACCAATCAGCCTGGCATCAATACCTGGGAAGTTCCTGTAAAAGATAATCAAGCAACAGATCTATGAATACCTAGAAGCAAACAAACATAGGCAGAGGCCAAGATGGATTTGTCAAAAACAGATCATGCCAAACAAATCTTATTTCATTCTTTGACAAAATGACTAAATTATTGGCCCCTAAAAAATCCAGTGGTCATAGTAAGGCATTTAGTAAGGCATTTGACAAAGTAGACCAGAATCTACTTCTTGGTAAACTAAAAAATGGGGGATGTATAGCATCACCACTTGAAGGATTTATAACTGGCTGAAAAATCACACTCAATGCGTTGTCCTTAATGAAAGTACATCTACATGGAAGAAGGAATCAGTGGAATACTCCAATGTTTTGTTTTAGGCCCAATATTCTTCAATATCTTAAATGATTTAGATGAGGGAATAGAAGGGGAACTCTTCAAATTTGCAAATGACATTAATTGGCAAGAATACCCAACATTCCAGAACAGAGGTCATCAACCAGTGGTCTGTGGAGCACTGGTGGTCCACAAGAAAATTTTGGTGGTCCGCACCACATCCAGGTGGAGGAGCTGCTCCAGGATGACCAATGGGCCAGTCCTGTGACTAGAACTCTGAAATATGGGACTAGCCAGGCACCTTGTGGTGGAGCTGGAAATCTCTGCTATGGAGGGAGATATGTGCAACTTTCAACTTTGCAGGTGGTGAAGGTGCAAGGAGTAGCACAGTCCTTGCTGGCTGGAAGGAGGTAATGGTGCTGTTGCGGCAAGGGGAGATGGTGGCGCAGGCGGGCCGAAGCAATGGGTGGTGGCAACCCATGGTTCTTTTGTCCCCCTGCTGTGACTTCCTGTTGTCTGAACCCACCACTGGGGGGCCCTGCCCCTTTCCCTCCCAGTCACTCCTCACTTGGCCTGTGAAGAGAAGGGCGGGGATGGAGATTCACTCCATATTCCAGAGTGGGAGCGAACCTTCGTCTCTTGCAGGGTCTCACAGGCATTTCTTCCAGCCCTTGTTGGTGCTCCATGCACCTCAATCGCACAGGAAGATGTGTAACTTCCTCCCAGCCCTGAGACACAGGCCTGCCCAGCCATTTCTCTTCACTGCTGCTTTTGCTGCCTCCATGTCCTGTTTTACAGCCCTCTCTAAGCAGTTTACAGAGTCAGCATATAGCCCCCAACAATCTGGGTCTTCATTTTACTGACCTTGGAAAAATGGAAGACTGAATCAACCTTGAGCTGGTGAGATTCGAACTGCCGAACTGCTGGCAAATGGCACTCAGCAGAATTAGCCTGCAATACTGCATTCTAACCACTGGGCCACCATGGCTCCAAGATCTTATACGTAGGCAAGAAAAATCAACTGAACAGATTCAAATTAGGTGAAGCCTGGCTAAATTACAGTAATTGCGAGAAGGCTCTGGGTGACTTACTAGACAATCATTTAAACATGAGTTCACAATGTGTGGTGGCAGCCAAACAAGCCAACACATTCTTAGGTTGCATTAACAGAAGGATATAATCAAATCATGTGATGTGTTGGTATTGCTTTATAAATCCTTAATAAGATCACACTTAGAATACTGCATCCAATTTTGGTCACCATACTATAAAAAAGATGTTGAGACTCTGGAAAGACTTCACAAAAGAGCAACAAAGATGATTAGGGGGCTGGAGGCTAAAACATATGAAGAACAGCTGCAGGAACTGGGTTTATCTAGTGAAAAGAAGGATTAGGAGTAGCATGATAGCAGTGTTCCAATATTTGCGGGATTACTACAATCAGGAGTGGGTCAAACTATTTTTCAAAGCACCAGAAAGCAAGACAAGAAATAATGGATTGAAACTGATCAAGGAGGGATGCAACCTAGAATTTAGGAGAAATTTTCTAACAATGAGAACAATCGCCAGTAGAATGGCTTGCCTTTAGAAGTTGCCATTACTGAAGGCTTTTAAAAAGAGATTAGACCAGGGGTGTCCAAATCAAGGCCCACTCGCCAGATTTGGGTTAGAGTTAGGGTTTTATCTAGATTGTATAAGTGAGATTATATAAAAGAGAATTAGGAAATTACGAAAAAATAACTTCGTTTAAGCAGGGTTTGTAGCATTAGGTCAATTTTATCAGAAGCTCAAAGGGACATGGTTGTACCATAACAAAAGTAGGATCTTGCAGCATGAATACAAGGCACATAAAATTGAGCACTGAAGCAGATCAATCTTCTTTTCACTATCACTTTTTTTTTTCAAAAAGAAAGGAACGAAAGCCATATAGGACATGATATGAGGATGTAATTGTATAGAGGCGACCCCTCAAAATAATCAAGCCTTATGCCACAGAGGATTTTAGATGTCATAACCAGCATCTTGAATTGAACCTTGAAGCAAACTAGCAACAAATGCAGCTCATCGAGCAGAGCTGTAACATGCACCAATCTTGGGATGCACCTAACTGCATACACTGTTACATTTTGCACCAGCTGTAGTTTCTGGGTTCTCTTCAAAGGCAGCCCCATGTAAAGTGCATTATATTAATCCATCCAGGAGATAATGAGTGCCTGAATAACAGTAGAACCCCTGATCCAGGAATAGATGGAACTGACGCAGAACCTAAAGTTGCACAATGGCTTTCCTGGGGACAACTATGATCTACTCGTCAAGCAGAAGTTATGAGTCTAGAAGGACTCCAGATTATAGACAAGGTCTGTTTGAGGCACGCCATCCAGCACTGAAGATTGTACATTCCAAGATCCTAGAGGCCTCAAAAACCAAAGCCATATAAACTTGCCAGGATTAAGTTGAAACCTGTTGTTCCCTATCCAACCTCCCACAGCCTCTAAACACCAAGACAGGACCTCAATGGCATCACTTAATTTGCATGGGGAGATGTACAGCTGGGTATCATCAGAAAACTGATGGTACCAAATCCTATAGGAACAGATGGCAAGGGCAGGACTTCTCACTGCCATCCAATACTGAATGAAAGCAAGTGCCCAGGAGGGATGAGAATCAGCACAATACAGTGCTGCCCATCCCATTCCATGGAAAATTACCATGGTTGATGGTAGTGAATGCCACCAAGAGGTCAAGTAGAACTAGGATGGATAAACTAACCCCATTCTTCTCCCACCAAAGGTCTTCCAAAAGTACAGCCAATGCTGTTTCAGTCCCATGTCCAATTCTGAAATCCAATTGAATCATCCAGGATTCTCTGAAGCTGCTATGCAATCACCTTCTCCAATAATATCTCTTCAACATTTTCTGAATCTCTATTTGAAAGCTTTGATATGTGTGCAAGTGATATAAAACTATCAAAATGCTTGGTTATCAGTTGGCATTTTCTATTCATTTGGTTACCATGAAAATAATCACAGTTGGTACAGATGGAAATAGGATGCTGTTTCCCTCCCCACCACAAGCTCTGTAAATATTTTGTTGTTTCTTGTTTGTTTCCAGTCTGCTGATCTTCAGGATGTCATGTTTATAGCCCTGGTAAAGGACAGACCAAAATTTGTTCGTCTCTTTCTTGAAAATGGGTTGAATCTAAGGAAGTTCCTCACTCATGAAGTTTTAACAGAGCTCTATGCAAAGAACTTCAGCAATCTGGTATTTAAAAATCTACAAATTGCTAAGAACTCCTACAGTGATGCTCTTCTTACTTTTGTATGGAAGATGGTAGAGGATTTCAGAAAAGGCATTAAAAAAGAAGACAAAAATGGCAAAGATGACATAGAGATACAGCTGCTGGTAGGTCAAGTATAGCTTTTAAACTGAAGTATCCATTTGCATCAATTTAAATCCACAGAACTCAATGGTTATTTATTTCTAAGTAACTTTTTCTATGTAAACCAAACAGGCATTAAGACTGAATTCCCATATTTGTTAATGATTTTTGTTGTAATTATGTCCTTTCAGGATGGATCTCTTATTACGAGGCACCCTTTGCAAGCTCTCTTTATTTGGGCTATCCTTCAAAACAAAAAGGAACTATCCACTGTAATTTGGGAACAGGTATTTCACACTTCTGAATTATTAACAATTAGATTCCTAATCTTTTGAGATAAAAAGTATTCCCTTAGGCTAGATTCCCATACATTATATGTATATGCAAAAGTAATTCCTATTGACTTTAATATTTGATTAAAATCAATAGGAATTACTTTTGCATATACATATCTAGGTTGGATTGGATTATTATGTATGCTAGAACAAAAGAGATGTCTCTTTTCTACTTAAAGTTTATAGATGCCAAAATTTGTGAATGTTGTGGGCCCCTCTTCCTAAATCAGTTTTTATTATTATTATCCCCCTTTTATATATATTGTTTACATGAATATGATAATATATGAAATGTGAATTTAGATTGATATTTAGAATAACATCAACTGAAGCTATATTGAAGGTAAAATAAAAATGTAGATATATTTAAAATGCTGATTTTATTGAATTATAAACCAGTTTAGTAATATAATTGCTGAAAAAGTCCTATTCCATGGATTTGTTTAATGGAATGTTTTATTTCAAGAGGGTCATGGTCAATAGATTATTGGGAAATTGTATAGGACAAATTGCTCATCACTTTTAATCATTTTTATTGTGCAAGTTATTCAAATGTAGTTCCAGAGAACTTCTATACTATGCAGCTACATTGCTATTTGGTAATGTAAATGTCATTTTAGTATTAGAATGTCATAAGAGGTTATTTAACAATTCTCTTTGCAGACAAGAGGCTGCACATTGGCAGCACTAGGGGCCAGCAAGCTTCTGAAAAGCTTAGCTAAGGTAAAAAATGATATTAATGCTGCTGGAGAATCAGAAGAGTTGGCAAATGAATATGAAACAAGAGCTGTAGGTAAGTTAAATATCAGAAGATTAGCTATAAATTAAGAGATTAAATACATACAGTTTGCTGGCAGAGGCACTGCGGGCCAATCCTTCACTGTTTCCAGTGTGATCTTATGGGCCAAACCTAAGCACTCTGTGGGCCAGATCCTGCCCACAGGCCTTGAATTTGACACCCCTGGTTTAGTGCATCCAGAGCTTGTGATGTCAAATTAAGTTTAGCCAGTGTGCAAGCTGAGGCTATTAATATTTCTGAAATTGTGCACTCCTAGTAGACTCCTAGTAATGTAACTGCCAGGTCCCTATCAGAATGCTGCCATTCTGGAGAGTGGGGGGAGGAACCCTGGGTGGAATGATTTGCATGCTTTCACTTTTACTGCAATTGCTTGGGGAATTTAAGAGGGAGATGTGACCATTTGCACTGACTCTCTCTCTAACAGTTCCAACCGTATTCAAGGTTGCAATACCTTGATGAGAAAAACTTCTTTGTACCATCCAGCCTCAGAGTTTGTCATAATACCTCTGTGGCAGCTTATTGGCTACAGATGGACATGGGGCTTGGGGGTGGAGAGTGGGGGAATTAACCTAATGCTTTATGCCTGAATTTCAGACTCTGCCTCACTCTTCTGCAATCTCTTAGTAAAAGTTCCTTTAGAAATTTAAACTTTTTCAAGAGTTTTACTTTCTTGAGAAGGTAGCTGAAGTAGGTCTTTACATTAGGCAGAATCTGAAAATTGGTCTGCCCTAGCACGGGGACTGTGCAAACAATGTCAGCCCATGGCAGCGATCAAGAAGAAACCGAATGCTGAGGTGAAGCCTTGGCCAAGCTTCAGTCAGGCGCAAACTCCACTGGATGGACAGAGGAAGCCGTCAGCTTGGGAAATGTAACCAAGCCTATATGGTTCACAGGTATTGGGAAGAGGCATGACAAGGAAGAGAGAATGTAGAGAGTCACCATCACCCAAGGCAGTCGTTGGAAAGGATGGAAAGAGAAGCTGGAAAGGCTGGAGGACAAGGAGATGAACCCAACCATGCTGACCTCCTCATGAGGCAAACCATGCAATGCATGATGGGTGTATTTCAAATTCTGAAAGCAAGAGAGGCCCTGGCCCACATGCCAGGGGGTCACAGACATCATACACAGCTGGAGGGGGGATGGGAATCCCTCATTTCTGGACACTCTGGTAGCAGTGATGGCCACCCTGGTGGGAGCAGCAACAACAGTGGGAACCTCTGAGAGATGCAGAGGCAGGGAATTCCCTGAGGCTGGGAGATGGTGCAGCTCCTTGCAGATGGAAACCACCACCCCCAGCATGAAATTTGATGGAGATCCCCAGCAGTTGGGGTTCTTCTTAGCCCAGCTTCTCACCTACATACAGGAATATGGAAACAAAATCCCTACTGAGGGGGCTAAGATCAGAGTCATTACTCTGGCCTTGGAGGGGACTGCAGCCAGATTGATGTTAACTCTCCACAATGCCAGTGCCCTGAGCTGAGAAATTTAAATCAATTCATGATTGCCCTGAGATGGCGATTTGAAGACACACACACCCAGCTAACCAGAAAGAGACTGTATTAGAACCATGATGCAGGGGTGCAGAACAGCAACCAAGTACAACGAGACCTGGCTTGCCACCTCATCTGGCCAGTTAAGGCTACAGATTGCAAAGACTAAATTCATCAAGAACTGATGTGTTTTGCTAATCACAGAAACTTGGCTTCATTCACTCATTCTGGATGCGGCTGTTGAGCTGGAAGGCTACATAGCTCACCGGCAGGACAGGAGTAGAGAATCCAGCAAGAACAAAGGGGGAGATTTAAGCCTTTATATGATCAAAAGCTGGTGTATCAATATAAAGGCTGTAGACAGCCACTGCTCCATGGAACTGGAGTATATGACTCTTAACTGTTGACCCATATATCTTCCAGGAGAGTTCAGTGTGGCTTTAATTACTACAGTATTGGCATCAGGTGGGATATAAACTGCAGTAATCAAAACCATGCTGAACTCTCATGGAAGATATATGGGTCTATATTTAAGAGTCATATACTATAGTATAGAAGGAATAGATCAGACATCCAGTCTTTGCTTATCAATAGAGACTGAGTGGAGCAAGTGGCCAGTTTTAAGTTTCCAGGTGTTATCATAAAAGAGGACCTGACCTGGGGCATTCACATTGCAGCACTGGTCAGAAGGACCCAGCAGATGTCTCAGGAAGCAACAACTGAATGAAAAACTGTTGGTGACCTTCTATTGCTGTACCATAGAGAATATTTTAACTTACTGCATCTGTGTATGCTTTGCCAATTATACAGTGGCAGATAGGACAGCACTCCAGAGGGTTAACGTCATTGCCCAGAGGATCATTGGTTGTCCTCTCCCATCTTTGGAAGAGCGTTATAGCTTCCACTGCCTTAAGAAAGTTCAAAACATTCTTAAAGATCCATCTCACGCTGATCACCCATTTTTGAACTATTATCATCTGTCAGACAGTACAGGATAATAAAAACATGGACAAATAGACTGAAAAACAGCTTCTATCCCAGGGCAGTAACTATATTGAATCCTACAGTATAGTGCAATATTAATGCAATATTGGGTTTTAAATTCAATTATATAGAATATGAAGGATGTGTGTGTTTTTATTTTGATGGTTATAATGTACACTGAAGATGACATTTAATTTCATTGTACAAGGTTCAATGATAGTAAAGTAAAATAAAGTGTAAAGTAAAGTGTAAAATGAAGTGTAAAGGAAAGGCAAGGCTAGGGACAGGGGCAGGGGCAGGGGCAGGGACAGGGGCAGGGGCAGGGGCAGGGGCAAGGCAAGGCAAGGCAAGGCAAGGCAAGGCAAGGCAAGGCAAGGCAACTAGCCAGAAAGAGACTGCATTAGAACCATGATGCAGTGGTGCAGACCAGCAGCCGAGTACACCAAGACCTGGCTTGCCCCTTCAACTGGCTAGAGGACATCCTCATGTGTTACTTCAAGGAAGGCCTGAATGAAGACTTCAGGTTGATGTCACGGTGAGAATGGGCTCCACTGAGTCCTGCGAAATCCAGCCAGCAATTGCTGTCAGGAGACCCTACGGGGTCAAAGCTGCCTTGTAGAGGCGGCAAAGAAAGGAGAGGTGCTTCGTGGACCACGAAGAACTTGCAATTTCCTCGCTAGGTCCGAAACAAGCTCTCCCAAATGGCAGCAGGGATGATGGCCATTTTTAGCAGTCACAAGCTGGGACA